TTTCATGAAATGGGATCAAAGGCTTTAATACAAATGAGAATAATATTAAATTAAAATACTAATTGTTTCTCATAATTAAAATTACATCAAAAGTTAAGCTGTTTATAGAATATATATATAAGAAATGTATAAAATATATTTTAAAATTAATGAAATGGATGTTTATATTTATTAAACAATGAATTAGTTTCTGCTTTCTATATATATATTTAATATTTTAATATATTTATATATACTGTATATTAATTTATATTTCATATATATTTTGATATCAATATATAAATTGTCGAAATTGTTTGCTTTGGAAGTATTGATAATTTAAAACATTTGATAATTCAGTGATTATTGAAAATCATTTAATAATTTGCATTCAATGGACGGATTCGGCGAATATTCCTAATTCCGATTTCAATTCGTGGATCTGTTTCTGCAGTCGTGTCTTCTGGTGAACGAATGCAGTGATTGAGTCGCCGTTCGGTGTCGTCGACTGTATGTGTGATTGCAATCGGAATAACGTCTGGACGAACCAACTCTTGGGCTTATTGCTGGTCGAGATGAACAGTTCCCGAGACGACGACGACTTACGCAATGGTGTGGCGAACGAAATGATGTCTGACTGACGGAAGAGTTGCAGTTCTTGCGATTGGATCTGATCTTCGAGTCTCTCCAACGAAGACCTCAATTCGGCGATTCGGGACTCGAATGCGGTCAACTGTTTTTCATCGGTTTCGCTATTATTCTCTCTATTGGCTGTGTTTTTAAGCATGTCTTTGAAATTAGACAACTCTTCGCGCATCTGATCCAATAGATTTCGGGCGCATTCGAACATCTCTTCGTTGAAGTTGCGAGCCTTCGACAGTTGTTGGCTCTCTTCGTTTCTGGTGATGCGGTCGTCGAGTTTAGCCATCAGTTGATTCAAATCTCTGACGGCTTTGAGGAGTTCGATCTGCTCTTCGGGCGTCGGCTTAATTGAGTTGACTTGCATTTCAAGCTGAAGTCGTTTGAGATCGGATTCGATGTCGAGATTGCGTTTCTGCCACTCGAAGAGCTCGCGTTCGTATTCTAACCGCTTCTCAATGGATATTCTCTGGAGTTCTTCGGTCTCCTCTTTGAGTCTGTCGTTCTCGAAGTGGAGTCCATCCACTTTCGACTTCCAACCGATCACTAAGTCTTCGTGATTGCAGACACCGATGGGTGCGCTAAGGGTCTGTTGCGTCAACTTCTGGCGCAACACTTCCTCCTCGTATTTCATTGATTTGATTTGACTTTTCATCTTTTGATTCTCGTCTTCTAAATAACGGCACTGTTTTTGATTGTCGTCGAAGTTATCGACAATTAGTTGTAATTCAGACTTAATTGCATTATTCTCTTTGCACTTCATATCGCACTCAACCCTATATTGGTTCAGCTCTGACTCCAATTTGATTAACTTCTTCTCCAATTCATAATTACGTGAACTCTCTCTTTGGATCCTTTCATTCAATTCTAATAACTGTTTGCGAATCGACTCGTTCTCAGACGACAACAAAGACTTCTCTGTCAGACCTCTCTTGAGTTCTTCGTTCAGTTCGTTTACTCTTCGTCTCAATTTAGACGACCGAATGGCTCCGCTCTTTGCCTTTCCGTTTGACTTCATCGCTGATTCATTCAATGAGGTCTTTGTTGGCGAGGAGTCAACTCTCACGTCGTCTTCCATCACAATCGAGTCCTCAGATGTCGTCGATTCTGATGTGTGAGAAGACCTGATTTGCTCTACAGATGACTGTCTCATAGGTAACGGAATTTTCGATAAACTCTTATTCATATTAGTATTACTATTGATATTAGTGTTACTATTATTAGATGTGATGTAGGAATTGGTTTCAATCGGCGTTTGTCTCGCGAAACCGTTATTTTGATTGTGTTTCGGCGAACCGTTTGATTGATTAACCGTTTGTCGCAAACTTTGCTTTAATGGCGATAAATGAGAGTTCACTCTAAGAATAGGAATCTTTGTTTCTTTTATTGACTCGAACTCTGAATTACTCGAAGTCGAGACAACGTCCGCATAGCTCTTAGCTCTGGCACTAATACTGCTCTTCAGCTCATCCATGAACGCCTGTTTGCCTCCCTTTTGGGCCACAACTTCGGCATAACTCCGTCTTCTGTGGTCTTCCATCGCTGCGGCACTCGATTCATCCGTTTTGGTCTTCAATTCAACACTTCTTCGTCGAACCTCTTCCAGTATTATTTTCTTCTCCTTGACGTTGTCTTTGATGTCGACATTACTGCCACGCCTTAACTTATGAACGGGTATATTGTGAGAACCGTTTGTAGCACTTTGTTTAGTAGGGCTCTGTTTGGTGTCGTTTTTATCACTAAAAACCTCATGTCTTTCACTGTTTTTCTTAACATTGTCTGTATTTTGTGGTTTCATATTCACTGGTATTTTAAGTGGTGTTGACTGAAGGGGTTGTGTTGGAGGCGATTGTACGCGATTGGGGGTCGTCTGAGGCGGTGGCGGGTCTTCATCCAAAAGAGTCTTCATTTGGGTAATAAAGTCGACGTTTCCGTCGTGTGTCTCCTGTATTAACAACATTTCCAATTCGTCCATAACATCGACGTTGAAAGGATCGGAATCCAAGAATTGTTGATTCTGTTTCTCATTAATGGCATTCTTCACCAAAACCTCTTCCCTTTGTTTCAATGTATCGATTTTGCCTAACGTTCCGCTTTCGGACACTTTATTGTTCACGTCTTCGTCGTCGGAAGAACTCGAAGACTGATTCCAAATGAGTTTAATATCTTTGGACGTTTCGGTAATATCGCCAACATTTTCCTCACGACTAGTGCTTGGCTTACAGATGACATAATCGTCGTTATCGTTGTTGTCATCGGTTTTCAATTCTTCGACAATAGTTTCGTCGACAAGACTAGAGACTCGAAAAGAGTTGCTTTTGAAGGACTCCTTTCGGGCTTTATTGGACTCCTTAGACATCGGGCGCTCATAATTACTGTCCTCGTCTTCGGTGTCGGGCCAGGAGTCGGCGCTATCCGTTTCGTGGGACTGAAAGGTTCTCATGTTATTCTTCATATTATTCCTGTTGACACTAATCGAGTGTCTCATGTCTTCGTCGCTCGAATAAGTATTGGATCCGTACTTCAAAAGCGTGTTCACCGCCTGAAGATTCTCATTGGCGGTGGCGATCATCAAAGCGGTCTTCTGCCGGTCATCCCTGGCGTCCAGATGTGTGCCGTTGGCTATCAGGTCCTCCAGAATAACGCAATTCTGGGGTAATTTGACCGCTAAATGCAAACACGTCTCGTTTTGCTGCACAAGTAGTCAAGTAATCAACAAAAAAATTAATTAACTTTTTTATATTTCTCTCACATTTTAGTTAAATGTGTTTAGAGTTAAGATAATAGAAGGAAAATATGACTTAAAATAGTTATGAGATAATCATAAACGAGTAGTTTTTCATACACTCAATGAAAGACATTTCATTTATTATCAGTTAAGAAAGCGGCGCAGAAAGAGTCGTGAAATTCATTTTTAATGCATTTTTGTTTTAAATGAAAATATGATTTTATGGCATAAATGGCTCTGAAGTGAAACCGGAGAGAAGACGGCAAAGACAAGCGAGCGATGAGTTTATGATTTATCAGACAATTAATCACATCTAAACTCTTTCGCCTCTGAGAACTAGTATCTCGTGTTTCACTTGATATGAGTTTTCTTTATTTAATACGAGAATCTATACTATAATTACGATTAGTTTTGGCACTAAAACTATTGCATAAGAAAATACAGCGAGAAATGCATAGCGAATGACACATACATTGTTTCGTTTGTTAACATCCAGTTGTTTGGCGTTTCGCAGCAGATATTGGGCCGCTTTCACGGCACCCATCGATAGCGCCCAATGCAGTGGAGTATTGCCCGTCTCATAGTCGGCCACTTCCGTGTCGGCGCCCACACACACGAAGAACTGGACCAAGTCTTCGTGATTGCACTCAATGGCCTTAACGATGGGTGCCTTACCGTCATTGTCCTGAGCGTTCACGTGAGCGCCCGCCTCTATCAGCGTACGGATGATCTTCAGATTGCCGTTAACTGTGGCCAAGTGTAGAGGCGTGCGGTCGGAGCTGTCCCTCGCGTTCACATCAATACTCTTGATATATTTGCGGACCTTTTCCTCGTCATTCAGAAGCGCCGCTTTGTGTAGTTTCGTGAAACTCTGGTCCACTTTCCCGAGATCTACATTATAGCCGCCTCTCACCACTTGGATCTGTAGTGTGGACGACGCCGACGACCCGATCGAGAATCGGCGCGGATTCAGACCCTTCAGCGACGACGAGGACTTCCGGCGCGCAAAACCAAAGAACTTCTTCATCACTACTTCACTCTCACTATAGTTTTGGGTTTACTTTTTGTGATCAGTTTTTTTGGTTCAAAAATAATGGCATCAAAAAACTCTCCACAGAAAAAGTTTTGGATTACTTTTTGATGTCTTTCTTATGTATAAAAATACAAAAACAGTTGTTTTGACACAAAAGCACTCAATAAATAATTGATTTGATTTGTTATCCGTTTTTTGTGTGGTTTTGTTTGGGAAGTGAACACAAAATCCTTTTAAACGAGGGCTTTATGTGATGAATGTAAGTAAGCATTGATTTATGCGATAATCTGATGCCAAATGGATTAGTAAGTGATTGTTGTGACGGCTATACATGTCTTGACGCGTGTATTGAAGTTCACAATACTGTTAATGATATACGAAATGGTGTACTGAAGACAATAGGGAAACGATTGGCAAAAAGGCAATAATAATCACAACTTGTGTTTTACTGACAATGAAAATGAGAAATACTGTTTGGTTTGAGTTGGTGTCAGAGCTCTGGTTGTGATGGTTGTGGTAGTGATAGTGAAACACAACACTTCAATGCATTGGTAGAGTCTGTGGTGTATTAAGTCTGCATAGCATTAGCGTTGGCACAGACTCTGAGGTGAAAGTAAAGCGTTTATATCCCCAGCGCTTACTGTTATGTATTCCGAGTGCTATCTCGCAGTTCACTGTAATGTTTGCACTGTTTTGTTGGCTTTTGTGAACAGTTTCAGGAGAGAGACCCAAAACCTACCAAACAGTCAACACATCGGCACAGCCTATGCGCACAACAACCCCCTCTCTTCCTCTCTCTCCCTCTCTGTGTTCAGTTAGCAGGCATTGGCATCACTGCCATCGCTGGCATTGCCATCGTATACCAGTTAGAGCTCATTCACAGTTCCCAACGCTATAGTGCTGTACAGGAGTGTAGTGCCGGTCCAACAACTGCTTACAACTGCCGGCACCGCAGCTGCACAACAAACACAACAACTTTCACTCCAAGGTTCACAACTTCTCTATCAAACACACAAAACACTAGCTTTTCCTCTCACTCTCTCTCTCCCACTGCACCTGCTTTTGGCCCTCAACTCAATATCAATATTACACTTCCATACCATATATTCTGTACGGCAGTACACTATTCGGCATAATGTATGGCAATAACGAGTGTGGAATCCAAACACTATTATACAAAACTAAACAAATGTTCAAAAACTTTATATCGTTTCCAAATCTTTCGCTTCTCTTTCACTCAAATCTTCTTCACTCTCTTCTCTACTGCTCTTACAGTTCTCTCTCTCTCTCTCTCTCTCTCTCTCTCTCTCTCTCTCTCTCTCNCTCTCTCTCTCTCTCTCTCTCTCTCTCTCTTTCTCTCTCTCTCTTTCTCTCTTTCTTTCTCTCCTCACTTTCATGACATCCCATCCCTCTCTTAAGACTCACTCATTTTTTGGGTGCCTTTTAAGTGGGCGTAAGTCTACTGTAATTCTAATATTACTATTGATTAAAGCAATTAGAAATAAGTGGCGGAATATAAAAGTCTATACTATTGTCGAAACAACAAAATTAAATAACGATTGAATTCAGACAACAAAAAAAGTTTCCTCAAAAAAGGCACTCAAATAAAAAAGAAGTTTTGAGAAATGAATTTTTGAGGGAAAATGTTATGAAAATTGTTTTCATTTTTTCATTTTTTAGCAGAAAGTGAAGTGAATTGAGTGAAGAATGTATATAAGGAATGGGATATAAAATAAATGTTTTGGTTCCGCGTCTGTGAACGTCCCGCGCGGCCAACGCTTTGAAGCAGAAAGGGATGACTCACTCACCTGTTGTTCAGGGCTTGCAATCAATCGGCAAAATATGCCCCAAACAGAGCCTTAAGGAGGTCTTCGCTAATACTTATGTAATCATTAGGTTTTGCAGAATAGGACATACATTGCAACCACTGCTACATTTGATGGCATTGTGTGAGTGCGAGAGAGAGAGAGAGAGAGAGAGAGAGAG